ATAGAGAAGTCTGTAAATTACACATTTTTGGTCAAGTTTTTGACCACTGGTCGACCTCTAGTGATAATTTAAACACAATTGTAGGGATTTAAAATCCCAGCAGTCTTAAGACTTATTTTCCACAACAACAAAATTAAATAAGGTACTATTTAGTATCGATAGTGTATTATGTACTATATAATAAATTCGAGGTTAAACATAGAAATCGGACAAGTAGTCACAAACCGTGCGATTTCCCAGTTTAGTCCTTGGAGGGAAATGAAAGGGTAGAAGTATTGTTGTTTGGGTCATCGACACTAACCTACCTTGACTCACTTCTGGACTGGACTGAAATTACCAGTGTTGCCAACCTAAGGTAATGAATAATATTTCCAGCAAAGTGTACTATATGAAAATGGTCGTAGGCTAATTTTTTCACATATTGTTTAGTTAAGATAATGATTTACGATTCGTCAACTAAATGTTACCTCCTTTTTAGGACTGATTTTAAGAGTTTTGCTTCACTGTTGGAATATACATCCAGAGAAAAAGACATCGTTTTATCAGTTATTATAATTAAGTCGTGTTCGTTAATAACAATATTTTTCATAAGTGTATGATACTAGAATAAAAAACACCAACCATCCTTTACATAAACGGATACAACTCTTAAAATTGCCTAAAACTGTTTTGTCAAAAACCTATAAGAACGTAAGTTTAAAGAGAGTGTGTTTATTCTATGGTTTAATATCTGGTCACAAACGTAATTCCTTTTAAACCATACAGTGTAAATTCGAATTTTGTTGATGTATTCACACAGTAGACGACTCTTATTAAAGTCTACTAAACATTCTATTTGGACAGTCGTGTGTTTAATAATATAATATTATATATATTGAAGTTAGTGTTCATGGTCAAAAATAAACTCGACGGGTAAAAATCTTTATAACAAAGTTTTCTTTCTATCACGAATTAAAATCAGCTGATTCCTTTGTTTGTTTTTTGTTTTCCACGTCAAACATTAGAACGCAAAAGTGACAGAAAATGAAAACAACATGAACGTGTCTATAGAAATTTATGGAAAGTTTATCATCGCATACCTTCTGTTACTAATATTGGCCACGAGGTATCGAGTTTTGTATTTCAACATTTTCCAAAGGATGTTCCCCCTTCCACGCTTTATGTTACGGAAAAGATTCCAAGATGAGAGAAGAGTCCACAGACGAAGACGCAATATGAACAGAAATAATGGTATTGTATAGGTACATATTTATAAACAGTGTAGTTTGTTGCAAAAGTTTTTTTTTTTTTTACTTAATTTTATTTTACAATCTGTTCAGTACTTTGAACAATTAGTAAAAGGGATAATATAAATAAGTGTCTTGACCAAGAATCTTCCCTGTGAAAGATCTTGCAAAATTAAATAGTCATGTCATAACTAAAACTATACAAATCGGTATGGGAGTTCTAGAACTTTCACAATTTTCAGTCTGTTGGGAAAATCACTATTGTCCAGCAAATTAACGGCTATATTGTTCGGGTGGGTTTCGAGTTTTTCTTGATAGTTCTTGCTAATTCTTGTTATTTCTTCAATTACTGTAGGTATTCTGAAATCTTCATGGATTGTTCGATTCGAAACAAACCACGGAGCATCAACTATTCTTCGTAGCGCCTTTGACTGAAATCTTTGAATAATTGCTAAGTTGGATTTACTTGCCGTTCCCCAAAGCTGTATCCCGTACGTCCAAATAGGTTTGATCATAACTTTGTAAAGTGTGAGTTTATTGGTCAACGAAAGCTTAGATTTTTTGCCTAGAAGCCAGTTGAGTTTACGAACCTTGAAGTCCATTTGTTGTCTTTTACACCAAATATGTGTTTTCCAAGTTAATCGTTTATCCATATGGAATCCTAAATACTTAATCCTAAATCCACGCTTCATGTTACGGAAAAGATTCCAAGATGAGAGAAGAGTACACAGACGAAGACGCAATATGAACAGAAATAATGGTATTTTATAGGTACATATTTATAAACAGTGTAGTTTGTTGCAAAAGTTGAAATTTTATCTTATCCTACATCAATTTGTATTGTTAAAATATTATGATGTGTGTACATAATATTACACGTGGTTGTTGATGAAAAAATAACTGTGGGAGAAGGTTTTGATGTCACAATAATTGATGTTTAACAATAAATAGTTTGCCCAAATTTGTAAGCTGTTTACGTAATATCATAGACGAGTAAACCTACCTTAATGATATGTCTGCTCCTTATGATATGTTTCCCTGATATGTTTGCATCCACAAAAGTGTAAATATACATCTGAAAGTTTATTCAGTGGAGGTTATTGTAAGTTATCAGTTCCTACTATGAATACTATAAAAGACTTCTTTTCAAGTATTTGTGGTTTCTACTTTTTGAATTATAAAAATGCAAGAAATCAAGGGAAATTCATTGTTTTAGCCGTAACGATTCAAGTAATTTGTGTTAACTCTAATCGATGATGAGAAACAAAATCAACGAATTAAAGTATTTTATAAGATTAGAGGTTTGGATTTCTGTAGTGACATTACTCAATCTTAAGATATTGTATCATGATTTGGATTACTTATTTAAATATAACCCCCTGATAAGAGATTAACGCCGAACCTAATGATTGTAAGGCTAAAATAGCTTCCTTTGAGGAGTCCTTGACGTGGCTTCACACCAAGTATAACGAAATTCACAATGACAAGCAACTCTTAAATGAAGTTAAACTATATTAAACTTTATATGTTTATAAATGCTATGGCGATATCTTATAAAATTGTTTTTGTGGTCGAATGGTTAAAAGAAACAACCATCCTATTTTTACTGAAAGTAGTGCCAAGTTGTTGTACTTTAATGAGAGAATACAGTAGTTTAAACAGAATTAATTGAGCTTTATGAATAATCTAACTGCAGGTCAAAGTAATAAAACGTACTAGTGGGAATTTCGTAAACTGAAAACTATAGTCGTACTCAAAACCAATCAGATTGTTTTTCCAAGAAATCATTCTTTGTTTAGCCAACAACCCGTAATCATTTTAAGCATAAATCCTTTATCGCTCATCACTGTCAAATAAAACTAGAACTATGAATATTCCCCAGCTCTTAACCTACAACTTCATTATAGCTGGTTATCTTGAATGTGGTTTTCTTGGTCGTTAACATAATAGAGGGCGCTTTTAGGTACAGTATTCCACGAGTCCACTAGATTTGTTGAATGTCAATTCCAATTAAAGTCTTCCGTCTTCTACAAGTTAAAAATTTCAAATAATAGTTTACTTGAAAGCTGGTAATTTTTAGTGAGTTCAATTAAAATGAAACTGATATCGTAAAGTCATTTAGTTAGGTACAGTTTCGGAAAGAATTTTTATTCAGTAAAACCCCTTTGATTGTATAAAAGTATGTTGCTTTCAACATTGAATTAATGTTGCTTACTGTTGACTTACTGAGCTGATGTTGCATGAATGAATGTTGAATGTTGGCAACTCGAAAACAACAACTTGCAAGTTGCAACTGATAGAAGAAAACTAAGGTATTCAAAATATCTGGTTTTACAATACCTTTATTAGTTCCAAAAGCTAAGTTAAGTTTCTTTAAGTTAATACGTTTCTTTTGGAACTGATAAAGGTATTGTAAAACCAAATATTTTATACATTACAGTTCCGGGGCTACAACAATGAATTTTAATAAGGTATTCACTTAACGTTTGACTTCTATTTCTTAGGACCAAAAAAAAGATATTTATCTTCATGTGTCCACACCATCGTAGCTATGTGAAAAAAACTTCATTATTCTTCATACTTCTCACTTGTCCTCGATTACCCACATATGTACGGTACGTGAGACTAGTTAAGCCTATCAGGGAGGAAATAAGTTTGAAAAGAAAATACGGAAAAGATTTTTCTCTTTGTTATGATACGATACGGTCAATTTTGTGGAGCCTACGTAGGTTTACCACCAGATAGGTCAAAAGCCTTCAGTTTCTTTTTGAAAATATTCTCCGTTTTAAATTTAACGAGTTGAATTCTGCGCATTACAGCTATTCTACAAAACTATGGTTGTTGGCAAATACAGTTAGTTGGCCATGCCATCTAACGAATAAGTACATTATCTTTATTTATTGTGTAGAAACGTGGATTTTCGTAGCAGAATGTGCAATAACTGTTGTGATTGTTCACACAGGAGTTTGCATGGAGTAAAAACAATTTCAATGAAGTAAAAGAAAACTCTGTGACGGGTGACTACCGGATGTTACTGTTTCCTGCAGTGGAAATTAATCTCAGTATTCACAAGGAATATTCACTCGGCCTCGCATACTAGATGTAATTCAAATCAGAATGCGACGCGTGGATCATTAGTTACTTTATTCTTTAATTTATTGTATTGTATTTTTTGTTGTTTACAAGAGAAATTTGTTTAAAAAATATTCAAACTAACTTAAGGTTCGAATACCTAAGATGTATCATGTCGTTGGGATTAACATTAAAAATCTAAATAGAGAAATTGAGGCAACGATCCCAAAGTTAAATTGTTCTACTGCCATACCACAAAGAAACAATGAGCAGTTTCGTGTTTCTGGCGTTCTTTGTATCGAAACGTAAACACTTTCTATACCCCTCCCAAATATAAGCTTTGCAGTCAAAATCTTAACCTCGAGGATTCAAGTAATCGTCAGAATGCGCATGTTCAGTTTTATCGACTTTAAATCTTCCAATCACTGAATAATAACAGTTTACCCAACATACTGGAGTGTTGCTACAAATTAAGTCAAACTTTATTTGATAACAATTAAGACTTCTCATTGAGGCAACCTTCATAAAACCGACAATACAAAATAGGCACATCTTCTTCCTTGTGTAGGGGGTTTAAATTGGTCAAGTAGGCCTACTTAAAACCGCAAGCTGGCCTGGCGGATTCCAATATACCCGTTGTAATGCTGGAAAATAATTTCTGATTGATATCTAAAGCAATAGAAAGCAATTGTTGAAACTGACCGGTGAGTCCGTTGGTTGGAAGGTCATCCGCTGGCATCTCGAAGCTCTTATTTACAACTCCTCCGTGGTCTTGCAGCTTCTCCTTGGTGGGTGGCGAGTCCTCTTCGTTCTGTAGGAACCCCGTCAGTGTCACCTGGCAAACATAATACAGTTAAACGTTTAATAGGGAAGAAGTTATTATACTCTGTGCAAGGTGGAGAAAAGTCTCATTGAAAGAGACAGTAAGTCGCTAATTTAAATACTATCTTGGAACTGATTTAATTTGATTCCCTTTGTTAGAAATAAATTGAGTTATAAAAATTCCCGTGTATTATAAAGGTATGATATTATTTAAATTTTGTCAGGTTGAGACCAAAGACTCCTAAGTAAACAAAAACTAGAGTGGTCGGGTAGTTAGGCCTATTGTTAAAAGTCGATGAAATGATTGAATAATGTCAACAACTGTTTTAAAGTGCCACGAGTAACAGCTTTAAAAAGTGGTTGGTCATAAACAGAATTGGTTAATGGTGCATGGTACAATTTTGTACTATGTTTTAGGTTTTTTTACTGAGCTTCTAATTCAAAATAGAACTTCATCGTCCTTTTCAATATAATTTTATTGCAAAACGATTGTATAAGGTTTTCACAATAAAAAAATTATTGAGTTATAATCTTAGTTTAATTAATTTACCTGACTCAAGTTGTCTCCGTATCCTCCTTTCCCAGTCATGTTGTATTCTTGTCTTGAGAACATCTACTGAAGTCTACGACCTCGTCATGTCGCTCTCGGTTCGAACTTAGACTTTGGAAATACCAAGTGCGTGCACAGTTTATTTAAAACTCTAAAGAATACTACACTTTCCTACGAGGAATTTCGGGTTTTGAAAACGACAAACTCACTTTTGTGGGCCGCAATTTCAAAAAGGTTGTAAAAGTGATATGGGTCTATAATTATTTACACAGTAATAGCTACCTTTAGTTAATAAAATATTGTGAATCTTGTACTAACCTATCTACAAAAAGGAACGAATTGATCGCATTATCACTAAATAAAAGCAGATTGATCAGAATAATACTAGAGAATGTCTGTTAGTTTGAAAATGTGAACTGAGTTTATCCGCACTGGGGGATTTTCGGAGGACCAACCATGGTGTACGGTTCGATATCTGAAACAAACAAGAGGATAAAGATTAGTACCTACATATTTGTAACTAAAATCTCATTTTTTGCAAATAAAATCGTGAACAGTTTTGCTCGTGTAGTGAGGCAAACATATGAAATGGGTCCTTAAATGAGATAATTTTAATTGAAAACATTTCATTAAAACGTTCCAAACCATGAAACACTTAGGCTCCAGATTTTACACATAGTTAAAGTATCGTAAAATGTAAGAAACATACTAACATCCCTACCTACAGTATTTATCAATTTCCGTGCTAACACTAAGTGGTCAGTGATGCAAAATATCCTGTATATTCAAGGTTTTAGTTATGTAAGCAATATCATTGACTCTAGATACTTCAATTATGCGGGAAGTTTAAGGTGGACAAGCATTTGAGACAATCTTGATGACAAAGAAAATATGCTATTATTTTTTATTGACTAACAGTTGATATCGTACTCCTTTTGTTATATTGCTCTAAAGTGAAGAGTTTGTAAAAGCTTGTTATTACTCTTCTAAAAATTCTTTATAGAGTGTGGCTAATTTTATTTATTCTTAAAAAATAAAAAATATTCTAAAGTGGGATATTTAATGGAATGCCTAGTTATATCTTTCGTCAAAGTCCTAATACAATTTAGTTATTGAACTTAAGTTTGTGTTCTATAAGTTTTGCTAATAACGAGTAAAACTCTTAGGTATGAAACTTTATACATACCGGTACTCAAAATACACATCTTGTATTGTTGTATACTCTATGTGCAGCCAGCAGGTGGCTATTCATTTAGTTACAATCAGCTGACAGATTGGTTTCCCGCGCGACCTTCCCGCCCTTCCGGTGACATCATAACCTCTACCTAACCTAACGTGGGGTGTCTGTTCATTCAACATATGACATCTGTTGTTTATGTCAACCCCTCTTTGATTGGCGGGGTTTTCCTAAATTAAAATAATAGTGGAAAGAACATTGTTTTAACTTCTGTTACTACCCAAAAATATGCGTGTTTTATTGATGTTTTATTCAATTAAACATTTACGTTCCTTTGTATTATAAACGTATACTTTTATTGTATACATCAATTTTAATAATTGCGGATTATGATAAAAATGACAGTACTTAGAAGGAAGATGATCTCCCGAAAGACCTATGAAGGAAAGAAAGGTTTGCGAGATGTATTCGTAAGTTGGTAGCAAAAAAGTGCCGTGGGAAATGTTTAAGAGTATTAACCTACCTATGACCAAAAGGCTTTTTGTAGTTATTACCAAAAGGTTAAAGGTCATACACACTCCAAAACATATTACGCCAGCTTTTCCAACGTAATTATATCCAAAACATTTGTTTGTGGAAAGAGAGTACAATTTGACTTTTAAACTGTAGTATTTGTTTTCTAATACTTTACTGTATTGCAAATGATACTTTGCTGTTTAGAGAGATTATAACTTGCTTTTTCGACATTTAAATTTTAACCCTGCTTATTTTCGAGTCGTTGATATAATTTTTTGTCCATAATGTGTTCTTCGATCCTAGTTTTGATGGACTGTTTAGTTTTCGTCAGTCGGTTCGATTCTTAGAGAATGCCTCTTTGAAGCTTCGGCTCTCATAATTATGTTTGCTGGCTCAACATATGGAAATTATTGATGGAAAGGAACTTGCCTTTTAGTACTGTACAATGATCAACTGAATATTCAGTACATGTCTTAACTGCGCGGGTATTATACTCCACGAATACTTGAACAGACACGGTATGGATCAACATCAACAAATTATGTTACTAGCCCGAAAATCCTACATTTAACATTGTTTAAATGGAACTGCCAAAACATTATGTAAATGCTACTAGGATTCGGGCCAGCAACGTCATTTGTTTATGATCCATACCGGTTCTGTTCAAGTATTTGTGCTATATACTCCATTCTTCGTATCTTACTAAAACAACAGCAAAATCTGCTTATTCTTATAGAACTAACCCCTTAATATTTGTGTGCTGCTGAAAAATAACGTATTGGTGGTCAAAAAACGTAGAAAATATCTATGCAGTGAAATAATGATCATGCTCTGTATTGCTCTTCCAATTTAAACCGAGAGAAGATTCCATAGTGTGAAACTAGCGATTTACTAAACTGTGATGGAATCCATACACATCAATACTTTACTAAAACATTGTCTTACAGTGTCCAAATCCAATATGGCTGCCATGATGACGTGCACATGCGTATTGCACCGCTCAACAATGGTTGCGACTGCGTTGAGGCAGCAATCCTTAGCAACCTTAGCCTTGAATAGACATTTATCTTTCATCATTGCAGTATCGAGATTGCAACCAGTCTGAGGAGAATGAAGGAGGATTCGTTCTGTTCTGTTCAGGGCCGAAGAATGGGTTTGCTATACAGAAATGTACAAAGAGTAACAATTTGCAGATACAGTAGTTATCTGCGGATACGTACTAGAAAGTTCACTTGGTTTGGTTTTTTGAGAAAGACACTTCTTTGAGGTTTGAAACTTCAGCCAAAGAGTACTAGGTACAACCAGATAAGGATTGATGGATACATGGTTACAGGTACTAGAAAGTTCGCTGGATCGTTTATTGAAAAAAATAATTATTCTTAAATGCTTGAGACCTCAGCTAAAGAGTAGGTACAATGAGTGACAGTTTGCTGAAAATACTATTACATGTAGGCCTACTAGAAATTTCGCGGGTTCGTTTCTTAAAATAATAATTCTGGGTTTGAAAATTCAGATAACGAGTATGTACAATGAGTGACAATTTGCTGAACATGTAATCACATTCACTAGAGATTTCTCTGATTTGTTTCTTGGAGAAGAAGAATTCTCGATGGTTTGATACTGGACCAGATTAGGTTTGTGGATTTATATCTGCGTTTCTGTTAGCATAGCTCTGAACATTTTTGTTCCGCAAGACGATTTTTTTTTTGTAATACACAGCGTTGAATCTCATCGGAAATCATTATTCCGAAACTCTTTGGTCCAGAAGACACGTCTTTGAAAGCACTAATACATTTTTTTTTCAATTGAAGAACTGCCAAAAGATATTCTTTCAAATTTAAGTCTGTATCTAGTGTTGTATTGGTGAGATTACAGAAATGGCCTAACTCCAATACCGCAAGCGTGGTACATAAGTACCCGTAGTTCTATCATAGATTAAAGGAGTAGACATATATGTCTATACTAATTTAGTATATGGTTCTATACAATAAAAGTGTGTTACCACGAACATCGTAAATGCGAAAGGAACTCATACCGTTGTCGGTGTTAAATCTAATATATAAAATTCTCGTGTCACAGTGTTTGTCTGCAAACTCCTCCAGAACGACTTCACCGATCGTTATGAAATTTGGTGTGTAAATTCTGTAGGTATGCGAATCGGACGTAAACTATTTCCCGTTTCGAAATTCTTAAAAGGGCTCCGCCCCAGTGGCTCTGGAGTTTCCCATGTTAACCTTATGAGAAATGGAATTAATGAATCTTAACAGCTGTTTCAATTAAACAAGTTGGTTCTGTTCTATGATGTTCAATAGCATTAAAGTTACAAGGATTACCAACAGGGTGCAGCACTATTATTTCTTTTACATTTATGACAACAGCTAATTTGCAACCAAAAGGTGAGTGAGCGTAGCGAACGAACTTCAACCTGGAGGCGAGTTAGCGTAGCGAACGAGCTAACCTGAAGGCAAGTGAGCGCAGCGAACGAGCTCCAACCTAAAGGTGAGTGAGCGTAGCGAACGAGCTCCAACCCAAAGGTGAGTGAGCGTAGCGAACGAACTTCAACCTGGAGGCGAGTTAGCGTAGCGAACGAGCTAACCTGAAGGCAAGTGAGCGCAGCGAACGAGCTCCAACCTAAAGGTGAGTGAGCGTAGCGAACGAGCTCCAACCCAAAGGTGAGTGAGCGTAGCGAACGAACTTCAACCAGGACGTGATTGAGCGATGCGAACGAGATCATCTTGAAAATTAAACGTAACGGTACTTAAATTATAAATAGTCAAAGGCAAGACAACGTCTGCCGGGTCGGTCTGTCTTAGGGGAAACCTATAACTTAGGCGATACGAAGTTCGCCGGGTCAGCTAGTATAATATAAAAATAAAATGTTTGTTTAAGCCTGCCTATACTAGAAAAAGAACAGCTGTAATGAACTTATTAGAATAACAATATAACAATTAAATGGTGTGAAATAAACTATGTGTAAAATGTGTTTAAGAATCTTGTGTTAGTTTTGTGAATAATAATTTTGTTTAATTGTAAAAAAGTGAGTATTTATTTAAATATAAAAAGTAAGAAAACTTTTCAGGTTATGGGCCCAGGGCTGCTCATGCCATAAAACTAAAAATTAACAACCAGGGCTTCTCATGCCATAAAACTAAAAATTAACAATCAGGGCTGCTCATGCCATAAAAATAAAAATTAACAATCAGGGCTGCTCATGCCATAAAATAAAACCAAGTAAGAACAGGGCTATTAATGCCATAAAACTAAAACTAGAAGAACAAAGTTTGAAGTTGTCTCTTAGCGTGAGTATATCAACATTTACTAATAATGACCAATGAAAATGATTACAACACTATTCAAAGACTTAAATACCCCCGCCGCAGCAAACCTGCAGACTAAGCGAATTTCAACTTGTCTGATTACATTTTTACTAAAATATTTCCATAAATAAGACATATTTATTCCCTATTTAAATAACATTATATTTAACGAGTGCTTAGGTTTGCTGCTACGGGGAAGGTAAAAAGTGTTTTTTGACCATACGTCAATAGTATAGGATGAAATATATAAATTTGCCAAATTTTATCAATATATAACCATAAACAAGTAAACTACAACAATTTTCATTTTCTCCATAAGAATAACATGGGAATTTTAAATTACACTATTTTTGAATTTTCTCCGTGACCGTTAGGCATACAACAGCGCTTCAATATACTAAATTATTTCTTTTTTTAAGCTCTACAAAACGGTTTGGGAAGAAATTGCAAAATCTTTTGTTTTTA